TACAACTCCTTGAAGATCTTGTAGAGGACGCCTTCCGTGGCGCCGTGCTTCTCCCGCTTCTCGCCCTGCACGCAGCAAAACACGTCGAGGCGGTTGTTTTCCTGGCGACGCAAGTCCAGCGTGAACAGCGCCACAAACGCCGTGATCTGAGATCGAGAAAAAATTAAAAATAAGTGTTGCTCATCAATATTACGTACAGCATACTCGAGTACCATTTCTCAAAATTGAGAGGGGGGAAAAAAGAGTCCACGTCATAGTTGGGTAGAAATTGTTGAAAGTTTTAGAAATTTCGGTGTACATCATATTCGTCATACTTGGGTGTAAATTTTTAAAACTCACATTAAATTTGATTCTAAAATGGAAAATTTTCAACCAATTTCAACAGAAGGCCGTACTGTAATGAAAAATAATTGAAAATTAATCGAATCCAGCACCAAATTGGATCTAAATCCGAAATAGAGTGCAAATACTTTTGAAAACTTCCCGTTTTAGAGCTACTAAAAATGGGGTGCTCGGGGATAAAATTTAGTTAAAAAATTTGAGTGAAAAACTCCAGTGCGCAACTTACTCGAGGGCGCGTGGTACTTGATTAAATACCGAGTGATAAATATTTTTTTCTGATACTGAACAGTATTATTGACTAATAAAAAAAAAATTTGCATTATTTACTTGCATTCAATCAAGTACCATGCGCACAGATAAAACAATTATCGACTACGGCATTCACACCAAGATTCGCCGCATCATTTCTCGAAAAATTAACTAGAAAATAATTATAGTAGATTAAAAAATTAATCTAAAAAACCACGTTTTCAAAAAGCAAAAAATAACCTTAAATGTGGTGTGCATCTATTTCATTTGTATTTCACTTCTTCCCAACAATCTCCATGCGCACCACGTTTAAGGTTATTTTTTGCTTTTTGAAAACGTGGTTTTTTAGATTAATTTTTTAATCTACTATAATTATTTTATTCTTTTTAAAAAATATTCTTAAAATTAATTTTTTCACAAAAGACTGCATTGTCATCAGTTTCTAGGCTATCCTGAAAGTTTCAGCTTGATAGCTAGTCGGGAAGTGAGTGAAATTTGAGTTTCAAAATTTGATCCGGACAAACAAACAGACAAGAAAGTGAGTTAATAAAAACGTGTTAATTAATTAGAAAAAAAATGTTCCAGGGGGTGGGATTGAACTTGGACCTCTGCGACCAATTCAGTTCACCATGGGTTTTTTTCTTGGGGCCAAGGAAAACCTGCTCAAAGTTTTATTATAGAAATCTACTATAATTATTTTATTCTTTTTAAAAAATATTCTTAAAATTAATTTTTTCACAAAAGATTGCATTGTCATCAGTTTCTAAGCTATCCTGAAAGTTTCAGCTTGCTAGCTAGTCTGGAAGTGAGTGAAATTTGAGTTTCAAAATTTGATCCGGACAAACAGACAGACAGACA